CACTCCTCCGTCCCCTGTCCCCGCCCTCCCCCCCTCCCCCCCCCCCTCTCTGAGTCAGGGTCTCCCTATGTAGTGTAGTCCTGTCTGGCCTGGAACTCGCAAAGATCAACTAGCCTCAGCCTCCCAGGTGCTGGGATTAAATATGTATGCCACCACGCCCTGGTTCTTAATGTTCTTTCCAAAGAATCAGAACTGAATGGATGCCATCTGGGTAGCGGCTTGTGCAGAACCCAGAGTTTCGAAATTTCATATGGGCCTTCATGAGCAGAAGTCACAGAAATATTTTATGTTGTGCAAGTGTAGGAGGTTCTCAGCAGACAGAAAAGTCTAGGTAGGGGAAGATAGCTCCTTCGGAGTGCAGTCACAAATATTAAGCACTAAAGGCGGATAATTCTGACTAGGTAGAAAATTGTGCACCTCAGCTATTCTGGAGGCAAGAAAATCACTTTAACTCACAAATTCAAGAACAGCCTGCATAACACAGCCAGATTGTTTATGTTTGAGACAGGATCTCACCTGTAGCTCATACTGGCCTTAAACTCTTTACTTAGGCAAGAGTGACCTTGAACTTCTGGTTCTACTACTTCTACCTCCGGATGCTGGGATTACAGGTATACACAACCACACCCAGTTTATGCAATGCTGAGGCTAGATCTAAGCCTTCCTTCATATTCTAGGCAAGCATTCTACATCCTCAGCCCCAGATTTTCTCTTTAAACTAACCAACCAACCAACCAACCAACCAACCAACCAACCAACAAGCCAACCAACGAACCAACCAGCAGTCATCCATCCACCCACCCACCCATCCAACCATCCACCCAGCCACCCATCCAACCATCCACCCATCCACCCACCCATCCATCCACCCATCCATCCGATCAACCAACCAACCCACTATTTAAAAACTCTTAGAGAGAATTCTAAATTATTGTGCCACACGACACTGAATACATTCCTGCACTCCTTAGCTCTATCCTCTCTCACTCCAACCTTCCTCACTGTGGTGCTCAGTGGTGGGATGCTCCCTACTTGACTACACAGCGCCAAGACCCCAGCTAACGTCCGCGCAGGAGCCACTGTGCACGCGCGTTCACCCACACCGCCTCCATATTGTCCACCGCGGCGTTCCGTAGCAAGTCCTTGGCAAGCTCCACGTCGGCCGCGCAGGCGCCCGGGGCACGTTCACCTGCTGCCGTTGTCGCCGCCGCCGCCGCTGCCGCCGCCGCTGACGGGGCTGGATGGGGGGCCGAAGCCAGCCAGGGGCACCCAGGAAGAAGAGACGCGGCGGCGGCGACGCTGACACTCGCACGACGAGCGCCCCGAGGTGCCCGCGAGCTCCACAGGAAGGCGGCGAGGCCCGGGCCCGGCCGCCCCGCGGGTAGAGACGCCGCCGGCCCCTCGCCGCGCCATGTTCAAGAAGCTGAAGCAGAAGATCAGCGAGGAGCAGCAGCAGCTGCAGCAGGCATTAGCCCCTGCTCAGGTACGCCGTCCCCCTACCCCGAGGCCCTGGAGGCTGGCTAAAGTTCTTCCGTGACCCTTGACCTCCGCCCCAAGACTTTCCCCCCCAAACCATAGCCCGGGAAGGTTTTGGACCGTCCAGCTTGTGTAGCAACCCTGTCCAAGTTTCTCCCAAACTTCGTCCCTGTGCAGGGTGACGGGACCCGTCGTGACATTTGACCTCGGAGTTTTCCCCCTAAGGACCGACCCGGTCTGACAGATGGGTGCAGTGGGTTCGGGTCCTGCATGGGGGAGCTTCTCTCGCCCTTGAGAGACCCTGACTCTGGAGTGGTGACGGGGGCGGGGCAATCCAGGTGCTTTGTGATATATGACCTCTGACCTCTGCCCCATCCATATACGACCAGTGTCCTCTGTGTTCACTGGACATTGCACCTGGAATGGTCAGGTCCCTGTAAGTCTCCTGCTTTCAGACCCTGATCGAGGCAGAGAGTCGAGCCTTCCAGGGCCAGGCTGCTCGCAGGAACCCAGGGCGGCGGGCCAGCGACCAAGCCTGTCACGAGTTAGTCACTTCGCATAACTTGGGTGATGGCGGACCGGGCGCAGGGGCAAACACTGAACGGGACGGGCGCCGAGCCTGTTAGCAACCGTGCTCTCGCATCTTTTCAGGAAGGTCGTTGTTTTTTTTAAGGAAGTATGGTTGCGGGTTGGGAAAAGGGGGCGTGTTTGTGTTAGAAACAAACAAACCCTCTCCAGCACCTAGGGTTTCAGCACTAAGGATGTGCTTCTAGAAACATATTCCGAGAAGATTTAGGATTTTTAAAATTCATATTCTCTCTCTCTCTCTCTCTCTCTCTCTCTCTCTCTCTCTCTCTCTCTCTCTCTCTGTGTGTGTGTGTGTGTGTGTATGTGTATGCTTGTGTGCGTGTGACAGCCAGAGGACAACCACAGTGTCATTTTTCAGGCGTTATCCTTTTATTTCTGGATTTATTTATTTATGTGTGTGAGTGTCTTGTCTGTATGTATGTCTGAATACTGTGTGCATGCTTACTGTCCATAGAGGCCAGAAGACGGTGTTGGATCCCAGGGAACTCGAGTAATACATGGTTGTGAGCCATTATGTGGGTACTGGGAACTGAACATTGGTACTCTGCAAGAGCAACGAGTGAGCTTAACCTCTGAGCCATCTCTCCAACACACACCCTGGCCTGGGACTCATCAAATAGGCTGGGCTCTCTGGTCAGCAAGCCCCGGGAATCCATCTGTCTCTGCCTCCTGAGTACTGGCTTACAAGAGTGTGCCACCACACCTGACTTTTTAACCTGTGTTCTGAGATGGAACTCAGGCAAGCCCCTTACCATCTGAACTGTCTTGCTAGCCCAGGGGCTGTTTTAATGTTAACACTCTGGGGCTGGTAAAGACTCAATGCATTCTTACCAGGCAGCTGAGTATTAGGTAGCGTTAAAAATCAACAGCATTGACCTGGACCTCTGCTCCACAGTTTATTTAGTAGTTAATACAGATAACTTAAACCTCATAAACCTCCAGGTCAGTGTTACTCCTCCTATAGAGGAAGATGTGATGAGACCCGAAGAGAATGTATTGCTACATAGTATCAGAGCTGCAGACAAGGATTGTTTACATAGAGTGATAGGTGTTACAAGAGACAAATTAAATGCAGCATATGAATTGTGATTCAGTTTTTGTGGCAAAAAGAAATGTATTTCTATAAATGGCATGGTGGCTCACACCTGTAATCTCAGCATTTGGGACGTATGAAGGATTTCATATTCAAATCTAGCCTGGGCAACACATGAAGTCCATGTTCCCCCAAATCAAACCAGTAGCACAAACCAGTGTGTGTTTGTGTAGTGAAAATACAAGTTTAAAAGGATGTGCTGTAGGATATTGATAGGATTGCTAAGGTATTTAATATACTTTTTTCATATTTAATGTTGAGCTTTTCTCTAAGAATGAACTGAAGTTCTTGAGTACCAAAGGGAATTTTAGTAATAACAAACAAATGCTTGCTGCAAGTTAAGCTGTGAGAGCTCCCAGGTCCTGTAGCTTCATACTGTTAGAGAAGCAAGCATCTGGATCAGACACAGTCCTATATGTAAGACTTACGATAACCTTTTTAAAGTAATTAATTCATTACAGTTTTAGTTTTTAGACAGGGCTTCTCCTTGTAGCCCTGGTCTGGGATTCACTCTATAAACCAAGCTCTGGCCTCAATCTCAGAGACCCGCCTGCCTCTGCCGCTTGAGTGCTGGGATTAAACGCCGCCTGTGCCGTATCCTCCCTGATGGATTTAAGGAGATATGAGAGAATTTTTGCTCACTTAAGTTTACTCTTGCCCGCCCTGCTCTAGGCAGCTAATGAACACTTCAGCCTCTGCTTACGTTTGGTTACTTTTGTAATGTTTCTCACTATAGACTGTGGATCTTCTCCAAGCTTTTTAAACTAACTACTGTGAGCTTTGAAATAACACACACAAACTTTTGTGTGAATTAGAGGTAGTTACCTGAGGGGTTCTTTAGTGCATTTTAGTATAATAACCTGAATTTGGGCATTCAGTTTGTTTGGTTCTCTAGAAGCTGTTGTGTGCATGCTTTCTGGTTCTTGACTTGCTTTCCATTGTCTTTATATATTTGTTTCCAGTGAATTCCTGTCAGATGCTGGTAGTTTTGGGTAAACTTTTTAAATCTTCCATATAGTAGAAATAGTGAGTATAGGGCCAGTCAGCCTCCCTGTCTGCCTGCCTGCCACCCTGTCTGTTTGCCTGCCTTCCTTCCTTCCTTCCTTCCTTTCTCCCTTCCTTCCTTCCTTCCTAGGGTTCAAAATAATATAACATGATAGCCTTCTAATTCCTAGTAATTTCTGTTAGTTGATGCTAAGGTTGTTTGAATCCTTTCTTTGTGGCCACCATTATTTTAAGTAACTATTTGCTCATCAGATTTGATTATTTGTATGATTATTATTATAAGTGTGAATTAAAGTTAAAATACTTCAAGTCAAGTTTTGCTTAATTTGTTTTTAAGCAACACATGTGTTTTGGAATTTTTTTTTCTAACTCTGTAGGATTAACTTACTAAAAAGAACATCTTAAAACAGTTAGATTGGTAGTGGTATATATTATAGTGCCTGCCTTATGACAAGGCCCCATGTTCAATCCCCAGCACTGTAAACAAACACACATTTCCCCAAACAACAAAACAAACATTTGCCAAGTATATTTGAAGATCAAGGTTCTATTTCTAGCACTGTATTCATGTGATAAATTTTGGGGTGTATGTGCATCTGTGCTGTGTGTGTGTTACGTAAGTAAAAACAGTTTTTAGTATGTTCTCATACTAACCATTACTAAAATTATTTAACTATTATGAAAATGAAGATATGAAAGGAGAACTATTTTGAGTCTACTAACATGAAATACACAAGAGTAGCCAGATTGTTCAGGCTAGAGCACAGATTACATTACTGTTCAGTGGTTTGCTGCACTGCAGTGGGAAAATGAAAACTCTGGAAATGAATGGATGTGAATATCTCATAGCATGTGAGTGTTTGAATGTGTGAGTGTGTGAATGTGTGAGTGTGCTTCCTTCCTGTGCTTCATGGCACTGTACATTTACACATATTCAGAACGGTAATTTGTACAGTATGCATGCCTTACCACAATTAAAACATTGAAAAACCAACACATAAGCACTGTTTGAAGCCTTCAGAGTTGTTTATATTTTTTTAAGTAGGGCTCTGAAATAGTAGTTAATGTAGTAGAAATTTTAAAAACAAATCATAAAGTCCCAGCAAGATGTCTCACAGATGGCAAAGGAGGCCCATCCTGAAAGATATAATTTTATTGCAAATTTGAGTTTACAAAGTACTTCTGTCTTAAATTATCTTAAATTCCCAAAAAGAGCACAGAGATGGGAAGATCTGAGCGTATCCTGATTGTCTGTAATCTATGTCCTACAACAAGAATTCAGTGATTACTGACAATGTTTTATATAGGAATACATTGTTATATTTTAATAAAAATAATCTTTGTTTGTGTGATTAAAACAAAGAATCCTCCACGCAGCTGTCAGCGGGGGGTGGGGGGGCAGACAGTTTCATATTCCACCTCACTAGCCTGAGAAGTACCCAGTGGGTCTCAACCTTTCTAACGCTGCAACCCTTTAATGTAGTTCCTTTTTGTGGTGACCTGCAACTGTAACATTATTTTTATAGCTACTTCATAACTAGCTATAAAAACATAACATATAACATATAAAACATATAAAATATAACATAGCTAATTTTGCTATTGTTGTGAATCATAATGTAAATAGATATTTACATTCTGTTTTCTGATAATCTTAGATGACTTCTGTGAAAGGGTCATTTGCCCTCCAAAGAGGTTGAGACCCACAAGTTGAAAACCGCCTCCTTAGACTTAGGGACCTTGAGTCAGACCAAACCAGGATTTGTGGATTTGACACTTGGAAAGACTCTTAGGACTAGCTAGTTGGAAACAGAGTTCTAGATTTTATTAACAATATTATGACCCATGTTTAAGTCCTGGGATTAAGAAAAGAGGCTGCCTGAAGAAAGAGCTGCAGGAGTAAGACGTGCCCACGTGGGGTCTGGGAGGATGGGCCACTCTGCACAGGAGCTGTGGGTACTATTTTGGTGGCTCTTAGGTTACATCTGAAAATATTGCTGAGAACCCTTTGTTTCTCTCTCTCTCACTTTGATAAGTGAGATAGTGAGGGGCTCTGGCGATGCCAGGGATGGATTTATAATCTGATAATGGAAGCAGGGGCTACAGGCTTGCAGAGAGTTTAGTATGTGTCCCTCCCTGTAAGTGGGTTTCTGGTGTGATTCCTAGGGACTAAGGTTTCTGGGGCAGAGCTCCCCCAACCTGTTTTTACGTATCAAGACCCCCACCCCAGGACTAGCCCTGGGGACACAGACCTAGAATTTTGAATGTGGGAGGCTGAGGCAGAAGATTCAAGAGTTTGAGGTCAGTCTGGGTTACATAGG